CGTTGAGGAGGCAGCAAGGCTTGGGGGACAGCAGGGCTGCTGCTGGGGGTGCCTCACCTTCCTGCTCTCCACAGCGAGTTTAGGGTGCCTGGCAGGGCAGGCGGGCCTGAAGGCTAGAGACCCCCCCCCCCGTGGCCTCCCCTGCTGACTCCTTCATGCCCGCCCCGCCCGCCCCTCCTCCCTGGCCTCGGGCTAATTGGCTGTGACAGCTGGAGCCCTGGGCAGCTGAGCGGTGTCGCTGCGAATTAGGCAGGCTCTGAGCCCGCCTGCCGCAAATTACACTGTCACTGCTCCCCACTGCTCCCCGTGCGGCTGCCGACTTCTTGTGGGGGTTGAAGTGTGGGGTCCAAGCTACTTCCACCTTCCTGCCACCTCCTGATTGGGGGCACACTCTCTTCCTCCACCCCCACCCCGCCTCCTCCTCCTTCCAGGTGATGAGGCAGGTTTCCCTCCTCCGGGGTCAGCCTCCCTCCGGCCCTGCCTCCTCCTCCACCACTGCCGAGCCCTCTGAGCGCCGCTCCCACTTCCCGCCAGCCTCCCCTGCCGCCCCAGACTCCCTAATTCAGACTCCCCTGGCCGCCACCCTCTCCCAGGGACCCCGGGGATCCAATACTTCCTCTCAGGGACCCCAGAGGACACTGCTTTCGGAGCTGCCCGCCCCCACCTCGAGACTCCCCCCAGGAGCCAGGCTCAGCCCGGACCCCACAGACCTTCACCCTTTCCAGCTTGGCCCACAGCCTCAGGCTCTCCCTGCTGACCCACATGTTGCACCCCCAAAGTCCACCCTCTGCTCCCCCTCCCCATGCAACCCCAGGGGTTCCATCATCAAGGTGGACCCCAGACCCTGCACCTCCCCTCCCCCACTTCCATGCCCCTCCCAGTCCGTGTTCAGGAAGGTCTCCCCCACCCGGACTCTCCCGGACGGACCACCCCAGCCCCTGCCCTCACCTCAGCCTTTGCTGCCCCTCCTGCGACCTGCCAGGACCCTCAGCCTTACGGAGGTGGGCCCTGCGAGGGTGGAGACAGACTGGGCTCAGGCCCTGCCCCGCACCCTTTCTGGGCCTCCCCAGCCCTCGGCTGGACTCCGTGGCTGGGAAGTGCTGACCAGGCAGCCAGGCCCAGGGACAGCAGCGGCAGGGCTGGTCCAGCTGTGAGACAGCGGGGAGGGGTGGGGGCTGGGCAAGGGAGAGCATGGACCCCACAGGGGCGGTGGCTCTTTCCTGTTCTCCAAATGTCCCCATTGCCTCTGTGGCTGTCTCAAAGCTCCTGAGTGTCTGCTTCCCAGAGTGGCTGGCGGGTGGGGAGACTGAGGCTCCCTGGGGAGAAGGCCAGGCTCTTCCTGACACCCACCCCCTTCCACGTCCCCAGGCCCTGGGCCAGGGATGGCTTTGCCCTTCCTCGAGACCCAGGGTGGGGGTGTTGGGCCCCCAGGCTCCCAGCCATACCCAGGGGCAGGTCAGTGCTGGCCCCGGGCCAAGTCCCTCCGTGACACTGTGACCTGCCATAGGCCTATCTGTTGGACAGGCCCCTTCAGGGTGTCCAGGGCTGAGCCAAGGAGCCCTCACCCCACACAGTTGGCTGGGCTTCTTCGTGTTCCAACCAATGGGCGGCTGGGCCTTGCGCCCCACATCTGTCCCTGGAAGAGGGTGTGACCCTAGAGAGCCCTCAGCATCTGGCCATGGAGGATGAGGCCCCCATCCTGGAGGGCATCTCGGCCCCTCACGGCGGCTCCAAGAACCAGGACTGGGAGAGAGGTGGCAAAGAGAGGCAGGGCAGGGCCACGACCCCTCCGCCCAGACAGGGTGGGCGGGGCTGAACCGAGAGGACAGCGGCTGAAGACTGCACTTCACTGGAGTGGCCCGTGTCAGGAAGCCGCTGTGGCCAGGTGGGCTTGGCAGGAAGGACTGGCACAGACAAAACCACAGGGTGAGTGTGCATGTGGGGTGGAGGAGCCACAGGTGTGTGTCTGGGTGTCAGTCCACCCTCACATGTGCTGGCCAGGTGTACTCATGGCCACAGGCGTGTCTGCTCTATGTGTCCGCGTGGTAAAGTCTGTGTGCGCCTGCATCTGCCCCCATGTGCTGGGCTGTCTGCATGCCTGCATGCCCATGCCCGTGTGCACGTGCCACAGCGTACCCAGCCTTGGGCTGGGGCTGGGGCAGAGGACGCCTCGGCCTGGTGCTGGCCGTGATCTCAGAGCCAGCTCTACAGGAGGCCGGGGAGGGCGCTGCCGACTGCCGCCCAATGTGGCGAGCTGGGGGGCCGTGGAGGAGGGGGGGCTGCAGGCTGCAGACAGGGCGCACGCGGCCCAGCGCCTGGGAACCGCAGGGGAAGGAGATGAAGCCCGGGCAGGCCCGTTTGCCGTGAGCTCCCCCAGCCCAAGCCCTGCGTGTGGCCGACGGGGGCTTAAGGAGGAAGCCGATGCCCATCCAGGTGGGCTGCTGGGCACAGGCGAGTGTGGGGGGCTGAGTGCAGCCCGCGCTCCTGGGCACGTGTCCAGTGTGTGCCGTGGGTATCCACCCAGGCCCAGGGCCTTGACCCCGGCTCCTTCGGCCTCCCCCTGCTCTCTGGGAAATGGCAGCTCCCACTGGTAGGAGGTGGGGCACAACTCCCGGGGCCACGTATCTGAGCTGCCCTGGGAACGCGAGGTTCTCAGGCTGCACGGCCCTGTTAAAGGCAACTTCAGGCCCCAGGCTCCCACTTTCACACGGGGCTCTCGTGGGGGCCGCCGCAGGACACTCAGGTGGATGTCTCCCTCAGGAGCTCTTGGGCCAGGACTGTCACCTGGGGCCCTGCTGTGGGCCCCCGGTGGGCACATGGGGTGGGTGGGGTGGTGGCCAGGGTGTGTGGGAGACAAGCCCTACCCTGTGGGCCCAGGCAGCCTCCTCCAGGAAGGCAGAGGGCAGCACCTTCGAGGTGCCAGGAGACCCTGCTTGTTCTGGCTCCGGGTGACGAGAGGCGGGGACACCCAGGCCAGGCTCCATCACTGACCTCTGGGGGCATCCAGGCATGCATGAGGTCAGCTGCCTTCCAGGACGGGTCAGGGGCTGGAGTCCCAGGAGCTGAGGATGCCGTGGTTGCCCCTTCCAGGCGCCCTCCAGCTGCCTTCAGACTCGGGCCCCTTGGCGCTGCCTCCACACAGGCAGGGACACACGTGCTCGGGAGTGCTGTTGGCACTCCAGCTCTGCTGCCCTCCAGGGCCCCAGGCCCAGTGAGGAGGAGCTGAGGGGTCCAATGTCCACCCAACCTCCCTCAGTCAGGAACCCCAGAGCTGCCCACCCCCCACCCCCCCCCCCCCGCTGCCGGCCCCAGCCAGGCCTGGCTGCGGCAGAGCCTCCGAAGGGTCACACTGGCCCCAGGGATGCCCTCAGGGCAAACCAAGGCCTCCAGGCAGCCCTTGGAGCTATGTGGAGCTCCGAGGCAGTCAGGGGTGTGCCCTGTGGGTGGTCTCCAGGGCGCCTGCTGCCCTCGGGGTTCACGGCTCCCCGAGAATGGTTTTCAGAAAAGCTCTGTCTCTGAACACAGGAATAAGCAGACCCCACAGGGGTCCCTTCGTCCCCGTGCTCACCTGCCTGCTGTACCTTGTGTGTGGTGCGGGGCGGGGAGGGGGACAGATGAAAGAGAAGGAGGAGAGAAAAGAGCAGCAGCGGAGCCGGAGCGGCTAAGGCCCCCAGGGCCGGCGCGCGCCGCAGGGGGTCCCTGGGCTCCTCTGAGTCCCAAACCCAGGAAGCCTCCAGCAGCATCCCCAGGCCCCATGCCCCGGGAGGCCCAGTTCTGGCCCCTGGGTGCCGGGCTCCCAGACGCCTGGAGTGGGGGTAAGGCGCCGGGAGGGTGACACATTTCCCTGCCCACCACCACCACCCCAAAAAGGCGGCCTCTGAGCTAGGCTGCCGGAGTCACTGGGCCCTGCATTTTCTCAGCCAGGAGAAAGGTTCCGTACAAAGGGCTCCTCAGGGCGGCAGTGGTGAAACTCAGGTGTCCCGTGTCCTCGGCTCTTTACAACTTCAGACTGCAAGATATGAGCCAGCTGATTCCCAATGGAGAACGTGCCCAAGGCTCCCCGCCCCTCCTCAGGGAGGGGTGGCCTCTGTGAACGAAAGCCGGGCCGGGCGGAGCCCCTGGCAACCAAGCCACCCGAGGCTGGAACCCACTAGTCCCTGCCAACTTCGTCCCTTGAGCTCCTCTTCCGACCCACATTTCTTTAATTCCAACCAGCACTTTCCACCTCAGAGACACCGGCCCGGCCAGCTCCCCTGCTAGGGTTCTGCTTGAACTCCCACAGAGACCCAAAGGCAAAGGCGGAGGCCGGCAGGGACCTTCCTCCAGGTCTCTCTGCTTGAAATGACAAAACCACCTCCGCAGATTCCTGCGCAGAGAACTCTGTCCGGTCCCCAGAAAGAACGTCTGCTTCCCCCAGACGGAAAAGCATCGCAGCCTCCTCCCAAGGAAGGCGAGTGTGGCGAGCCCTTGCAGGCCAGAAGCCCTCTCAAAATTTGCAAACCACGGACCCTCGCCTGCCTCTCTTCCGGTGAAGGGAGGGAACCGTCCATGACACGTCCTGTGGCTGCCCTGGGGCCCTGTGGGGTGAGGTTTCTGGGGTGCTGCCTCCTCCCAGGCGACTGTAGTCCATGCCCAGCCAGCAGTTCAGAGGACAGAGGGCAGGCTGCACCTTCAGGTGGGAGAGGAGCCAGGCGGGCTCTGAGGGCTGGGGACAGTTTTGGCCAACAGGATGCGGCAGTGCGTCTCCCCAAGGACGCCTCCTGCCCTGCACCCCAGCCTGCCTCAGTGACTCTCCCCAAAAGTCCCTTGGCCTTCCTGGCCGAGGGTAGCCGCAGAGGGCGCAGGTCTTCGGGGTGTGGGCTGGCTGCTCAGTGTCTTCCCCCATCCTGCTGTCACCGAGGGCCCGCCCGTCACCCAGGGCCACCACCAAGCCCAGTGCAGGGCCCTCCTCTTCCTTGGATTCCGGGAGAAACACGGCCGACAAACCAGCCAGGCCGCAGTGACTTGGATCTAAACGGGTTTATTTTGTGTATTTTTTTCTTTTTCTCAGTTTCGTAGCAAATGAAAAAAGAACACAACGAAAACCAACAACATAACAAAACTTTCAACGAGTCGGCGCGTCTTCCACTCCGAGTGCTCAAGGGACGGGTGCGGACCGGCTGCAATCCCAGAGAAGGCCCCTGAGGGCCCCAGAAAACTGGGCAGGTCCCCCCAGGGGCCCGGCCCAGCCTACAGGGGCCGGAGCACCCGCCTCCTCGCTGGCTCTCCCCGGTAGTCCAAAAAGTGATGAAGCATTAAAGAAAGACTCCACAAACAAAACGAATCACAATTTAAATTAAAATAAAAACACTTTCTCCACCCGCCCCATGCCAGGAGGCTCTGGCCAAAGCCTCCGCTTAAAAAAATTTTTTTTCTGCTAGAAATACTCTGCATTACTTTTTTCTTTCACTTCTCTTGAAGATTAAAATAAGATATATTTTCCCAGGAGTCATAGATACGTTCTGGTGCATAGAGACAGCAGCTCGGGGTCCGGGCCAGCCCCACCCGGCTGAGCACAGGACCCACCCCCCTCCCCCCATGAGCATAGTAGGACAGCAGGCCTGGACACAGCACAGGGGACGTCCCTGGCTTCACCCCAGGGAACGCCAGTAGCAGGGTCGGGGGCAGGCGGGGAGGGGGCAGGCAGGGGCCGGGCCTCTGCTGGCGAGCGACACATGCTGCGACTCGCGACTGAGGGCGGAGCCGGCTGGGGAAGGAAGGGGGCTTCCTCCGAGGTTTTCTTTCGTAATCACCAAGCATAATAAATATAAATACTTCGAAAATAAGACTGATTTTGAAAGGGGGAGGAGGAGTTTAAAAAGGCAAGGCAAAGGAGCAACGAGAAGGGAGGCGGAGGGCCGGCGCAGGCAGGGGCTCCCCGGGAAGGGACGGGCGGCTGCGCGGCCCCTCGGCGGCCAGGGCGACGGTGGGAACGGAGAACCGCGCTCGACGTATGTACAAGTGGACGCTCGGAAAGAAGTTAGAGCTGGCTCAAGTTTCCTTGGAAATCACCGTCCTCCGCGCAACGTCAGGGCGGCGACCCGGGCGGAACGCGCGCGAACCGGGGCCGGGAGCCAAGGGGCCTCCAGCCCCGCGCCCGCAGACTTCGCAGCGGGGCCAGCGCGTCCGGGACCGCGGAGTCCGAGTCCCGCCCCGGGCGGCCTGCGCGAACTTGTCCCGGCGACGGCGGCGCGGGCTCGGGGTCTGGCGCTTACAGGAAGAAGTCGGGCGCGCCCTTGGCCCCGCCGGGCCCGGCCTGCGGCGGCGAAGGCTCCCGCGGGAAACCAGCCCCGCCCGCGCCCCCGGGGCCGCCCCGGCCCGCCAGCTTCTCGTATTTCTCCTTGTACAGGTCCCGCTCCTTGGCCAGGCGCCCCACCTCCAGCTTCAGCTGCTCCACCTGGCTCTGGAGCTGGCACTTCTCGCTCTCCAGAATGTGCCGCTGCTGCACCCGCTTGAAGCGGCATGACTGCGCGTAGCCGCGGTTCTTGAGCGTGCGCCGCTTCTGCTTGAGCCGGATGACCTCCTCCTTGCTGAAGCCGCGGAGCTGCCGGTTCAGCTCGCGCACCGACATGGACACCAGCTGGTCGTCGGAGAAGCGCTCCTCCAGGCGCACGTGGTGGCCCGCGCCGCCGTGGCCGTGGCCGTGGCCCGCGCTGCCGCCGTGGTGGTGGTGGTGGTGGTGGGCGGCGTGGTGCGCGCCGTGGTGGTGGCCGGCGCCCATGTCGTCCGCGCCGCCGCCGCCGCCCGCGAAGCCCTGGCCCCGGAAAGCCTCGTAGGCCGCGGCGGCCGCCGGGTGGTGCGCGCCGTGGTGGCCGCTGCCGATCAGCGCCTCCACCGCGTCCTCGGGCGTCAGGTTGAGCGCCTCGGGGTTCAGGTGGTGCTGGTAGCCGCTCATCCAGTACAGATCCTCCAGCGCCGGCTTCCCCGACGCGCCCCCGACGGCGCCGGGGCCCCCGCTCGGCGGCCCCGGGGCGCCCCCGGCCTGAGACGCGCCGCCGCCGCCGCCCGCGCCGCCGCCCGCGCCGCCGGTGCCCGGGCTGGGCGCGCAGAAGCTGGGCGAGGAGGGCACGGAGGAGCAGGGCGTGCTGAGCGGCGTCGAGGACAGCGAGCCGGGCGGCAGGCGGTGGCAGAAGCGCTCGGCCTCGGGCGGCTCCTTCTTCACCTCGAACTTCATCAGGTCGAAGTCGTTGACGTACTCGATGGCCAGCGGGCTGCTGGGCAGCTCGGCGCCCATCGCCAGCTCCGCGGCCATCGCCCGGGGCCCGCGCCCGGCCGCGCCCCGACGGGCGGCGTCGCTGCGGTGGGGGCAGCCGCGGGCCTCCCCCCCCCTTCCCCCCCGCGGGCGGCGGTTCCGGCGGGGGCGGGGGGGCGCCGGCTCGGAGCTGCGGCGCCGAGGGCCGCGGGGAAAAGTTTCACGTGGTTAACTCCGGGCGGCGCGCTGCGGGCCGGGTGTCTCGGCGGCTCGGGGCCCGCGCCGCCGCCTCCTCCCCGCGGCCGCCACCGCCTCGGGCCGCTCCGCGTCGGCCCCGCGCCCCCCCCCGCGCCGCCGGCCGGCCCCGCCTCCCACGGCTGAACGCCGAGCGGCGCGCGCCCCTTTATAGAGCCGGACGCCCGGGCCCGCCTCCCCGGGAGGGGCGCGCGCCCCCGGGCCAATCGGAGCCCCGGCCCCGCCGCCCTCATTTGCCTATCCCCATGGCAACTCGCAGCCCAGCTGTCAATCTCCTGCGGGAAACAGCTGTGGGAAGGGGTGGGGACCGGCCGCTGGCGAGAGGAGGGGACAGGGCCCTCTGGCGGCCGTCACGGGGCACTGCACGGGCAGAGGGCGCACTGCGGGGCGGGGGGTAACCGGGGTCCCCGGGGGCCTCAGCTCCGAGATCCGGCGGCCGGAGAGTCCGGGGGAGCAGAGCCGGGCCGCGCCCGGGGAACCCCTCGGGGCCTCGTCCGCCTCGGGCCACGCGGCGGGGCGCCCCCGGCCCCCTGGGTTCGCGGCCCGGCCTGGCCTCCGCCAGCGGCGGCGGCGGGACCTCCGGGCCTCGGGACATGGGTGACACCGCGTGGCCCGTTGGGGCGCGACGCGCCGAGCCGGTTATTTTTAGCCTGCGGCTCAGCGCGTTCAGGAATTTGGTCAACAAAGTTGCCGGCACCTCCGGGCGCCAGGACACGCGGCGCGGGAGGAGGGGGACACGCGCGTGGGGCCGGGAACGGAGAGCCGGCGTGTGGGGCCCGCGGAGGGCGCAGGACTGCGGGGGGCGCGGAGCGACGCGGGCGCGGGAGGGCGGCGGGGGCAGGGCCCCTCCGGGCGTTGGGAATCCGGGCCCCAGCTGCCCACCGCCCGGGGCTGGAGGCGCCTCGCCGGGCCGGCAGCGGGACGCGGTAGCCGAGACGGGAAGGCAGGGATTTCCACCTGGCGGCCTTGCACCTGCTGGGAGGAGGCAGCTCGGGGAAACGGGGCAAAGGCGGCGACGATGGGCGGTGGGCCTGCGACCCCAGGTCCCCGAGCCAGCGAGTGGCTGACGGGAGGCGGCACCAGGAGTTACGGGGCGGGTGACGCGAAGTGGGCCTACTGTTTTCTCTAAATTCTCTCCATTGCTGTTCTATGACTTTAACAACGACAAAAATAAATCTACAATGTTACCACCTGCGTAGAGAGAAAATCCTGAAGAGTTGGGCAGAGGCCAGAGGGAGGCCTGGTCAGGGTGCCACGGGATTTGAACCAGCCTTTCTTTCCCCTCTTTCCCTCTGCAGATGTCCATGATTTTTATAGCGAGAAGACAGCCACCGGTGAGGACTGAACACCTGCTTCCCACGGTGTCGCAGGTGTCTCTGGCCGGCCCCTGGCCCTCCCACTCCTCTGGGCAGAGCTGGGACTGCAGATTTGGGACGGCCAGGCCTTCCTCCCTGTGACAGGGCCAAGAAAAGCATGAGACCCACCTGCAGGGACCCCTCTGCCCTGATCCTGTCCCAGCCGGGGCTCTGAGCTCCCTGCCTGCCTCCGCGCCTTCAGGCCTCAATGCTATAGCCCATCTCCCATGGCTAACTCACAGCCACCATCCCAGTATCACGAGCCTTCCACAGATGAAGAAATGAAGGCTCAGGAAAGTGGGCACACGGCAGAGTCAAGTCCCCATGCCAGGTACCTGGACTCGAGACCACATGAGCGGTCAGCCAGCCAGGGGTGTGGGGTTTCCTTTATGGCGCCCGGCGTTCAGAGGGAGGGAGGCCCGGGCGGGAGACGCCACCGTGCGGTGGAGCTGGTGGCAGTCAAGCTGTCTGCACCTGCAGCCCGGGAGGAGTCGTTGGGGCTGGAGCGCCCTTACACGGCCCTCCGAGGGTGCAGCAGCATTTCTGGGCACCACACCCCGGCGGCCCTGGGCTCGCTGGAAAGGGGGCTGAGGAGGAAAGGGAGAGTGTTTGTATCGGGCTGTGCCTCCGCTGTCGCTGCCGGCTCCCCATCACACTGTGGCTCCTGCCAGGCCAAGTAGACCAGGGGACCGTGTTCATTCACCAGCCCAGTAGGACTCCGGCACACCCGTGGGAGTGAAGGAGGTGCCTGACCCCAGGCCGTTGCAGTGAGAGCCCTCCTGGGGGCCAAAGCTCCTGACCTCAGGCTAAGGGACACTGACTGCTGACCCCCCAGCCAGGCTTGGACTCAGTGGCACAGGAAGCACTAGTGACTCATCTTGCTCTGAGATGGGGCAGAAGCTGTTGGAGGTTGGGGTGGCCTCAAAGATCTGCCCTAACCCACCCACCCCAACCTCAAGGCCAGGATGGCTGCCTAGAATTCACCTGTGCACGGCTCTTCCCTGGGCTCCCAGGAGAGGCGCTCTCCCTTCCTGCCAGCCTTCCAACACCCCCCAAACTTTCAGCATTTGGCCCTCACAGAATTCCACAGGGGCAGCCTGTGTGGCTGGGTACCTTGATGCACCCAACGGGCTTCTCTTGAGCAGCTAGCATACATCAGTCCGTCTGCCTGGGGGGCACACTCCATCAGGGAGGTGGCCAGGGTCCCTTGTTGAGAAGCCCCCTGAAGCTTGATAGCACAAGGCAGTATTATTTCATCCATGGTCTCTGGGGAGATGTGTCCTGGTAATAGGGGCACAGCTTGCCTCTGATCCTGACAGTGGGAGGACTTGGGGTCTGGGGTGACGGGACAGCTGACAGATGGTGCCACTGAGTAGCATCTTCACACCCAGGCCTGGCAGATGGTGGCAGCTGCCTGCCAAAACAGCTGCTCGCAATGCCTCCACAGGGCTGCTCCCCGTGGCTGTTTGGGCTTCCTCACAGCATGGCTGCTGGTTCCCAGCGTCTGTGTCCCAGAGAGGAAGGTGGAGGGACACATGTGCCTCAGAAGCTGCTGCACTGTGCTGGTGGTCCTGGTGCGTAGAGGTCAGCTGCCCCTCCGGGCAGGGGCACCAACACCTGTGTAGGTCATGTGAGGAAGGGGCATGTGGGCTGGGACACACTGTTGTAGTTTCTGGAAAAGACCGTCTCCTGAGTAGGCCTCAGAGAACAGAACATCAGCTATAAAAATAAGTAAAATGAAGGCCGGGCGTGGTGGCTCAAGCCTGTAATCCCAGCACTTTGGGAGGCCAAGGCGGGTGGATCACGAGGTCGAGAGATCGAGACCATCCTGGTCAACATGGTGAAACCCCGTCTCTATTAAAAATACAAAAAAACAAATTAGCTGGGCATGGTGGTGCGTGCCTGTGATCCCAGCTACTCAGGAGGCTGAGGCAGGAGAATTGCCTGAACCCAGGAGGCGGAGGTTGCGGTGAGCCGAGATCGCGCCATTGCACTCCAGCCTGGGTAACAAGGGCGAAACTGTCTCAAAAAAAATAAAGAAGAAAAAAAAAATAAGTAAAATGATAGTGGATTTGCTTTCTATTGCTGTCTCACAAATTATCTGACGTTTAGAAACTTAACACACATTTATGGTCTCGTGGCTTTTGTGGGCCAAGTGTCCAGGCAGGGCTTAGCAGGGGCCCCTGTCCAGCATGCAGTCTAGGAGGTGGCTGGGCTGCAGTCTCAGTGTGGGATGGGGAGGGCTCTGTCACCAGGCACCATCAGGCTGTTGGCAGGATTATTTCCTCAAATCTGTAGAACTGAGGCCTGGCTTCTTGCTGCCTGGAGGGCCCCCTGAGCTCCTCACCAAGGGTGGTCCCCAGCACAGGCCCTGCTCCTCGGGCTAGCCAGGAGAGGCTCTCAGCGGGGCATAAGGTGCTGTGATCACAGCTGTGGCATCCAGCCACCCTCCTGGAGTCTGTCGGTGGAAAGGGGTCCCCCAAGGCTATCAACACTAGGGGGTTCACGAGGCCACCTTAGGGCCTGTCCCCCACGCACATTTGTGAGAAGGTGGAAGGTTGGCCGGGTGGGGAGTGCTGGGTTGGTGGGGCTGGGGGAGCCTTATGGACACCTGAGCAGATGGAGGGGTCAAGCCCTTCAGGCCGGGAGCAGGAAGCCCAGAGCCCCTGCCTGGGAGAGGCATGGAAGGGCCCAAGGTGGCTGGGTCAAGATCTTAGCCGGAGGAGGCTGATGCCGGGCCCAGGAAGTCATCATGGGCTCCCAGAGGGCTCTGGGTGGAGGGAAACCTGGTATGAGGAGGGACAGGGAGATTGGGGTGCCCACCACCTGACCCCTGCAGCCCCCTCTGCTGTCCACCATGGGACCCCATGCAGTCTGCTGTCTGCTGGGGGCCCGAGCTCATGCATTTTACTGAGGGAAGGGGCCAGAGGGGACTGTCCGGCACAGCTCCTCCATCCCTGCCAGAGCACAGCCGCACAGGAGGGCTGAGCTGACCGTGCCAGGCCATGCGTGGACCTCCGGAACCCCCCGCCCCGCCGCCGCGTGGACCTCCAGAACCCCCCACCCCGCCGCCGCGTGGACCTCCAGAACCCCCATCCTGCCACCGCGTGGACCTCCGGAACCCCCCGCCCCGCCGCCGCGTGGACCTCCGGAACCCCCGCCCCGCCGCCGCGTGGACCTCCAGAACCCCCATCCTGCCACCGTGTGGACCTCTGGAACCCCCATCCTGCCACCCCAACGGTAAGTGCTCTGTGCAGAGCCTCTCGTAGAGTCTGTGTCATTTTTGTGGCATTTAGGTGGGAAAGCCTGAGCAGGGAGCCACGTGCTACCCACACGCCCAGTGCCAGCGTTCCCTGTGCGGAAGTTATAATGGCAGATGGAACCTTCTCTGTCCCACAGACAGAGGCTCAGGGTCTTCTGGGCTGGGGGCCTGCTGGGGCTGCCTCCACCCTCACCCTGCTCCTGCTGCTGGGGCTGATTTGCAGTTAAAAAGCAAAACCAAGAAAACAAATCCAGGGCCTCCGGAGAGTCCCTCCTCAGTCTGTCCACTGCTCCGCCCCTTCCTTGTGCCCCTGCTCAAGCACGGACGGTGCACCTGCTGTATGCCAGGCGCCAGTTAGGGCGCTCACTCAGCCATGAATGAGCACGCCCAAGCTCCCTGCCCTCCTGGAGCTCCCGTGCTGGTGGGCGCTAAGTGAGGCAGGGTCAGCGCCCTCAGCACAGAGGCAGGATGGGCACAGGCCTAGCCCAGCAAGGTGCAGGGGCTCCCGGCTGACCCCCTGACACTCTCCCTTCCATCACCTCCCAGCCCCTAGGGGGGTCCAGGCCAGCATGCAACTGCCCAGCCAGCACCCCTCCAGACACAGGGGGCACAGAGCCACACTCAGAAATCACTGCACCGCCCGCCCACCCATCCACCTTCCCCAGGGGCCATGGACTATGCCCATGGCTCCCACCTCTGCGGCCATCACATCTCCCTCAGATGAGGCAGCAGCCCTAAGACCCATCCTCTTGGCACTGGGGGACGCTTTGCCTGCCTGAGGCCTGGCCGTGCCCCGCCAGGGCTGAGGAACCCCCGGGGGATGTGTGCTTCCACTGTGGGGTCTCCCTCCAGCTGCTCCAGCACACGCCACTCTGCGGCACACCTGGGCTTGGGTGCGGGCTTACCCGCTCTCCTCGGGAGGCCTTCCCTGTTCCAACCACCCCAGCAGGGGACAGTCCACTAGGCTGTCCTCAGCTGGGGCCGTGGTCAGTGCAGGGACAGGGACTCCCCTGGTTCCGCCCTCCTGGGTCCCTGGGCCAGGTGCCCTGGCAGAGCAGTCGCTGGTCTGCTGCCGGCTGCCCCTTGGCATGAGGGTCCTCATGTGACCAAACGGGCACACTCCATCCATGCAGGGGACAAGCAAGGACTAGTGACCAGGCAGAGCCAAGGCTGCATAATGTCCCCAGGTGGGGGACTGGGACCCCATGGTGGTCCCCTGAAGGCCATGTCCAGCCTTTTCTGAGCCTTCCTGCTGGCCACTCCTGGGCAGGGGCTGTGTCTGGGAACAGTGGGCCTAGCCCTGAACTGCCATCACACCCCCTTGTCCAGGAGCAATGCCTGGGGCCTGCTAGTGGCCGTGCCACGTGGCAGATGGCAGAGCTCACGGTCCCAGGCAGGCACTGACTGGGTGGACAGGGAGCCTGTTCCCCACCACCAACCACCCACAAACATTTCATGTTTCAGGGACCGTGTGCCAGCCCCAGGGTGGCCGAAGGCAGTGGCACCCATCGGTGGGTCTGGCTGCCCATGGGGCCTGCAGCAGACACTGGCAGCGGCACGCAGTGAGGTTAGAGGATCAGCCGCCTCATGTCCACCCGGTGCCTACCCTCGAATCGGGGGTCCCAGAGAGCACAGTCTGAGGTGCAAGCCCATGACCCCATTTATCAAGTGGCCCAGAGGGAGGCAGGGAGGTGATCTTAAGAGGTGGCCACAGCTTGGGACCCCCTAGTCCTGCCTGGTGGCCCTTCACAGTGAGCCACGGGGAGGAGGCCCAGGGCTGAGGGGCCCCGCAGGTGTAGGAGGCTTGGGCCCATCAGTGGCCCCGACGCCAGCCCGGGTTCCTTCTGTCTGGCCGGCCTGGGAAGCAGGCCCCGCAGGCCGAGGCTGCTGGTTCTGGTGCCTGTTGCTGCCGGCTGCAATCTGTGTCCCTGGTCTCCCCTCATCAGCCCAGTGCAGGACCCACAGCCCGCTCTGCTCCTGGGGAAAGAGGAGGGTGTGGCTGAGAGCAGCCACAGTTTGCCCACTGCTCCAAGTAGGCATGAGGGGCCCTGAGCATGGACACGAGCCCCTATGTCTGGGCCCCTGTGTCTGGGAGAGCCAGGCCAGTGCTGGAGGGGACTGAAGCCAGCTGGGCACACCCCACCCACAGCTCTGGCTTCCAGAATCCACTGTCCCACCCAATCCGGCTGCAGCAGGACCACAGCCACAGGCTGGGGCCCAGGAGTGCAGGGAAGAGGTCACGGCAATGGCCACCATAGAGAGAACTGGGAACTGCCATGTCACCCAGCACTGGCTCTGGTGGAACTGTCCTGTGAGCCTCGTACACCTCCTGCCCTCTGACGCCAATGTTAGGATGCCCCACTCCAGGGTGGACACCAGGACCTTGAGGGGACAGAGCCTTCTCCTCACCCAGAGTGTGGACCAGGCCAAGGGGCCCTGCGGGGTGTGGGGTGGGCAGTGGCATGGCCACCCACTTGGAGCCCAGGCAGGCAGAGGGCACGAGACTTGAGCATCTGACTGCAGGCTGCGCTGTGGGCCCTGAGAGTTGTGGCCTGCCTCACCCAGGGGCCACCCTCTTGTTTCTCTGGCGGTGAGAGAAGTGGGAGCAGATCCCCAGAGGAGCCTGTGCCCCTCCAGGCCTTGCCTCTCCCAATCCGGGGTCCCTGACACCACCTCAGCCAGGCCTCCTGGCCAGGCCCCTCCAGCACAGGCACCTGTGCACGGCGGGGGAGCTGGGAGCCGGCCGAGCTGCCCCACTCACCATGACCCCAGCCTTTGCACCCAGGTCCCCAGAGTGCCCCCCAGGCCCTCCCCACCCCAGATGGCACTGGCTCAGGCCTGGGGAAAAGTTCCTTCTGACCTCCGAACTATCCTGGGAGGTAGGAAAGGGGCCCCGTGCTCATGCCCAGAGGGGCAGTGCCAACCACCTGGTGGTGGTGTGGCAGCAGTCAGGATAAGCCAGCCAGTTATGGACAGAACTTTTATTGCTGAACATAAAACACCTGCCTGGGAGGCCTGGCCGGTGGCCTCTTCACTGGGCTCAAGACCTGGGTGGAGAGGGCTGGGGGGCCACAGGGCCACTGCTGCCAAAGGCTGTGGGGAACAGGCCTGGAGGCCACCCCTGCCTGGCACCCTGGAGGGGGGTGGGTGGGGTCAGGGGCCAGGCCCTGGGCACACAGTGGTCATGGAAGTTTCCAGGCAGGCAGAACAGTGTCCCTGTGGCCCCAGGTGGGGGTGGTGGGGGGCAGCCCTCCTCTGGGGCAGAGTGGCAGACACAGCCTCTTTCCTCTCCAAGGACGAGGGTCTGAGGTAGGTGCAGGCCGGTTCCTGGGGTCCTCACAAACGTGGCTTGATGTGCAGAGGCTTCCCTGTGCAAGAGGGCAAAAGTCAGGTGCCAGGAAAGCCCTAGAAGACCCTCCCCAGTATGCAATGCTCCTGGTCTGGGACTCAGGATGGGGCTAACACAGCAGGGTCTGAGTTCCAGAGAGAAGAGCTCACAGGCCACAGGCCTCAGCTCCTGCCGCCGCTGCCAACGGGTCCTGGTGAGCCACTGTGCCTGTCCGCCCATGGTGCAGGCTCAGTCTATGGCGTCGACTGAGGCTTCTGCCTGCAATCCAAGGGTCCTCCTGGCAGGGGCGGCGGTCCTAGCCACAAGGTCTGCAGGTTAAGCCATCGGTCCCAGCACACACAGCACTGGGCAACCCCACACACACACACACCTGCAGTGAGGCTGCCAGGCCCGTGAGGCGGCCATGCTGCACCTTCCATGTGGAAAGCCGGGGTGCACACAAGCTGTGGCAGGAGGGGCAGGGCAGGACAGAGGCCCCAGGGTGAGGCGGGCAGGGCCTGGAGGCAGGCGGTGTGGGAGGGAGCAGTTCCCCCCAGCGGGGAACCTTGGGGGCCCCTGCCCTGTGAGTGCTCACTCACTAACTAGGTGCTGGCGCCGCTCCTCTCTCCCCAGATCTCCAGACCACCCCACAGGCACCACGGCAGCCCACTGAATACAGACACCTCCGTGTAGCTGCCCCAGGACCGGCATTGCCCCGGGGCCACTCGCCCGCACACAGCTGTGGGCCCAGGTGGCGGACTACCCGGCTCTGACCTGTCAGCCTGCCCCTGCGGCCCAGCTTCCTACCCAGAAACCGTCCCAGGCACCTCCACCTGCCCGAGTACCCGGCCACGGCAGCGTTTTGAGGGGCCTGCCCAAGCTGCACATGGGACCCCTCAGCACCCTGCCCACCTCTGCTGGCTCTGGAATTGGCTGCTGGGTTCCTGATCTTAAAAAAAAATAGAAGAGGTGCCTGCCTGGGGGCCTATCTGCTTCCCCAGCCCAGAGAGGCCCACCCAGATGGAGGGAGCGGGTGCCCACGTCTTGTGGGGTGGGGTCTGGCCACACTCCACGCCCAGCGTGGAGGCTGTGAGCAGGAGGCAGCCCCTCCGAGGCAGGCGTTTGAGCGTGCTCAGCGGAGATGCTGGAGAAGGCTGCAGCAAGCATCTTCCATTAACGTTACGACCGTGAAATATGACAATAAAATGATAGCCGTATGGTCACAAATTTGCAGCCCGCCGAGCTGCGTGGGGTTTATCGTCACTCAAACGCGCAGAGAGCTGTAAAATGTTTACAGAAAGGGTCGTTTGCAGCCATAAAATCCTCTTTTCTCTCCTAAACAAGGCTGAGTGGAGCCATTTACCAAGCCCCAAACGCTCACTGGGGGAGAGGGAACATCTGTTCTCTCCAGGAGTGCGCCGTGATCTTCCAGAACAAATTAACAGAAATGGGTGCTTTCTAATTAAATCAGCCTCAGCTGGGGCCGACAGCGCAGGGGCCACCGCCACACTCGCCCTCGGCCAGCCCCGCCCCCCGGGCTGGCAGGTGCACACCTGGTGCCCTCAGGACTCACCCAGGCTCCACCTGAAGATTCTGACGTGGTGGTCTGGGATGGGCATTTAAAACTCCCCTGTGCCTGAGTCAGGCCACGCTGCCTACCTGAGTCCTTGGTCAGGGGGGCCCTGGGGGCCCGGGCCCTGGGCTGGCCTCCTGGGCTTGGTGAGGACTGCAGGGAGATGAAGGAGGGCAGCTTGCAGAGCCTGCTGGAGCGCGCCACCGCTGAGGTGGCCTCCTGGAGAGACGGGGCCTCCTGGTCCAAGGAATTGAGAGGGGACAGGGAGGAGGGGGAGGAGGAACAGGAGGAAGGAGAAGAGGCCGCCTTGGAGGATGAGGGAGAGGCTGACACCCCTGGGGAGTGGGGAGGCGCAGCCAGGGCAGCCCCGGTGAGGGCAGGAGAGCTGGGCGTCTGCCTGGTGGGGCGCTGGGCTGCCAAGGGCTTCCTGCAGGAAAGGAAGGGGCAGACGTGTGAGGAGGGGTGATGGGAGGGGTCCCAGCGACAGGCCACTCATGCTCTCAGCTGCTTCCTGCCTCTGTGGCCCCCTTGAACTCAGGGCAGAACTGGAGGCACAGGTCAAGCCTGGCCCTTGGCCACAAGGACAGGCCAGGTGCGGGGAAGGCCCCAGCTCCACACCAAGCCTGCCCTTCACCTCCAGGGCCTTGGCTTCCTGGTCTGCATGGGGGCTGGATGAGGGAGCCCCAGACTCCTCCAGGAGCTGGACCTCCCACCCTCTCCCAGGGAGTAGGTCTCTGTGAAGCCCCCCCTTCCTCCATGGCGAGGGATGCCCTTGGCTCTGTCCAGATTTGGAACTTGGGTAGGGGTAGCTCTGGAGGTCACGTGACCCCAGCCTTGGCTTGGGATTCCTTTCTGGATCTGAAGCCTGAAGAGCTGAGTTGGGGGCGGGGGGGCTCACCCAGAGGGCCCTGAGCATCTCCCCAGACAGGGAGGGGCCACCCAGGCTCACATGTACGGTACCCACTGCCCCATCACCTGGGCCCGTGGCTGGCTGAGGCCCTGCTCCTGGCAGCGGTGTCGCTGGGTCCTGGGGCGGGGGATGTGGCTGCCCGCCGACTGTGGCGTTTCTGGGTGCGGTGGAGCAGCTGGCACTGGGTGCCCCGGGGACACGACCCCCTGCGGGCGAAGTCTGGGCACAACAGTGTGTGTTTCTTCTTGCACTGCAGAGAGAAGGGGTACAGCTGGGTGGGCTGGCTGGAGGCTGTGGCCCTGCATGGGGAGAGCAAGGAGGGCCAGGCCAGGCCCCTGAACGCCCACAGGCCCCACAGGCTCTGCCCAAGTCTTGGGGTCAAAGGTTTCCTTTTGGAAGGTCGAGGCCACCAGGTCAGAGAGGCTCCATGGGGGCCCTCACCCACCTGTAAGAGGCCCTCAGCAACTGGAGGCCCTGGGCACAGACTGAGAGCATGGTGGGACAGGGCCAGCCTGGGGACTCCCAGAGCCTTTGGCCAGGCCATGGCTCAGGGCTCTGCCCGCCCGCTACCTCTGCCAGACCCCGGCCTGCCCATCCAGGCAGCCCAGAGGGAGCCCGGGAAGGTGGATGTGGCTAGAGATGGGCGGCAGTGGGGAGCAGCAGGGCGGGCTTGAGCTGGGTCAGGGGAGGAGGGTGGGTCAGCCGAGGCCAGGCCGCACTGGGTCAGGGCTGGGCTGGGCTGGGCTGGGCACGCGATCCCTAGCACCTGTCAAGTGCTAATTATACCCGAGGGGCGGGGGGCGTGCCAGCCAGCAGGTGCTCTGGGCAGCAACGTGGCCCCAGCTCTCCTTCCACACCCACAGGGAAACACGAAGAGGCTGCCCAAGGCTCCAGTGGCTGAGCCTAGCTCAGGGAGCAGGGTGCCCAGCCTGCCCTTCCTCTGCCCAAGGCCTTTGCCCGCTCCTGGCCTTTGCTCTGCAGCCCAGTTGCCTGCCCACCTCGTGCCCAAGGCCTTTCAGGGAGGGTACTGCCTCCCCGCCGCCCTCCAGAGCCCACTGCATGGGGCACCCAAACTGCTCTTCATGGAACCAGCGCAAACTGTGACAAGCTCCCTGCCTAACCCACCAAGAGTGGCTCAAACCTGCCACGGCACTGGAGTGGCCTGAGTGCTTCCAACTCATGGGGTGTCAAAGCCTTGAACCCATGTCCTCCCAGACACATGGCCCCTGCTTGCCAGGCACCTGACCTAAGAATCTGTGATCTTAGGTGCTGCTCCTATACCTGGGGCTGGCCATGAGCACCTCCTCAGAGCCGGGCCCCACTGCACCCCATACCTTCCCCGGCTCCTGTGGTGTGGCCCCCGCCGCGCCCCCAGGAGGAAGCCAGGCTCAGGCCAGTGCCCACACCCTTGCTCACTCGCTCACTCGTTCCTGCTACACGAAGTCTGAGTCCCTCCACGCAGGGCCTGGCAGTGCTGTGGGGCCCCGAGACCCATGGGCTGCTCAGGAGCCTGCAGCTGAAGAGATGCTGGGGCCTGCACAGACCTGGGGGTGAGGCCTCCTGGGGGGCGGGGGCGGTGGCTGTGCCTGACAAGGAAAGCCCTGTCCCCAGCACAGGCATCACACGTGGCGCTGGGATGAGCCTAGGGGCATGCGGGTCCATTTTATCAGATGCAGCCACCGATCCAACAATGGCTGGTGGCAACACTGGGTGCGGAGAGCCAGCTGAGGGGCCACACAGGCAGTGTGAGCTGAGGTGTGGGTGTCGGTGAGAGCCAGGTGCCGGGGCTGAGAGAGTAGAAACAAAAGAATGTAAAATACACAATTTCTTTTTCCTTGATTACATGTTGAAATTTTTGATAGACCGGGTTAAATAAAACATATGATTCCATCTGCTCTGGTGTATTTTTTAACCTTTTAAAGGTGGCTACTAGAAAAGCTGAAATTCACATATGACTCACACGTTTGTACTGGACAGTGCCAGTCAGAACTAACCCTCCTGGAGAACACGACCAAATACCCAGGACCAAAAAGAACTTTCCAGGCCCAGCACACCTGTCATCCCAGCACTTTGGGAGCGCAAGGCAGGCGGATCACTTGAGGTCAGGAGTTCAAGACCAGCCTGGCCAACATGGTTAAACTGCCTCTCCTAGAAACACAACAATTAGCTGGGCATGGTGGCACACACCTGTAGTCCCAGCCACGCGGGAGGCTGATGCAAAGACTCACTTGAACCTGGGTGGTAGAGGTTGCAGTGAGCCAAGATTGCACCACTGTACTTCAGCCTAGGCAAGAGAGTGAGACTCTGTCTCTAAAAATAAAGTAACTTTTTGAAATTACCTAGGAGCTATGAAGAAAGTAAAATGATAGAAGAAAATATACAAGAAAACACCAGACATGAAGTGAATCTTAAATTTCAAAAGGCCTGAGACCCTTCGCCTCGTGTTCATTTATTTAGTCTTCAATGTGCACTAATGGAAAACCCAAACAAGCCAAACAAACCCCCCAGAAAACCCTCCAAAGATCTGGAAATGTATCGCCATCAGTGAAACAGCTAAAGCAGGGCTTAGAGGAAAATGCATAGCCTTAAATGCTTCTATCACAACGGAAGACCTACCTTAAAAGGTAGGGGAAAAACAGCAAATGAACTCAAAGCAGAGGGAAAGAAAAATAAAACAAGAATTACAACCAAGAGAGTTAAAAAGCTGGTTCTTTGAAAACAGTAATGAATGTGTCCAATAGGATTAATCAGGAAATACAGAGAAGGAAGATGTAAACGATGTTGGGAACGACAATCATGTAACTAAAGATGCTGCATATGATGAAAGATGCCACATGCTGTGACAACAAACATCATGCCAGTACATTTAAAAACACTAGTTAATTGACAAATTCTAGAAAAACTGACAAGAAGAAAAATAAATCCAAGTATTTCTATAACCACTAAGAAACTGGAATCAGCAGTTAAAAGGTAAAGCTACAACCCAAAGGGTTTTACTTGCCGTGCTACCAAACACTCCAGATGTACAATTCCAGTCTTCCACGAACAAATCCACAGTATAGAAAAACAAAGAACACTGCTCAGCTTATGGGGCCAGAATAATCTTGAAACCAAATCTGACCAGCACTATATGAGAAGAGAACATTTAGGCCAATTATCACTCATGAAAAGAATGCAAAAGTCCTACATAAATTATAAACAGTCTTGCAATGTATAAAAACACTAACATATAAAGGACCAAGTTGGGTTTATCTCAGGAATGCAAGGTTGGTTTAATATTAGAAAATCAGGCCATGCGCAGTGGCTCATGCCTGTAATCCAACACTTTGGGAGGCTGAGGTGGGCAGATTGCCTGAGCTCAGGAGTTCACCTGGCAACACGATGAAACCCCATCTCTACTAAATACAAAAAAAAAATTTTAGCCCAGGCGTAGTGGCGTGTGCCTGTAGTCCTAGCTACTCAGGAGGCTGAGACAGAAGAATTGCTTGAACCCGGGAGGCGGAGGTTGCAGGGAGCCGAGATTGCCCCGCTGCACTCCAGCCTGAGCAACAGAGCAAGACTCCATCTAAAAAAAAAAGAAGAAATTGGCAGGCACACAGAAGATCCAAACCATCTGATTCCACCCTAGCCCCTCCCAAATCTCAGGTCTTTCTCCTATTTCAAAAGCCAATCATTTCGTTCCCAACAGTCCCCAGAGCAGGAAGCAGGAAAGGAGCTCAGGGAAGACCAAAAGCAAAGAGGGAATGATAAGGAACCACAGAAGTCAACGAAAAAGAAAAGAAACAAGCAGTAAAGAATATGAGCAAAACCCAAAAGCTGGTTGTCTGAAAAGGGCAATAAGATAGTCACGCCCCTGGCAAGACTGTTCCCAGAAACAAGTGAGAAAACGCAAATTAAATACAGATGAAAAAACCTCTAGACGTAACAAAGGATGTTGCAGACACACCAACATGCACCAATATGTTGAAAACCTTAGTAAAACCGATCAGTTTCTGGGGGAAAATCAGCCAAAACTGGTATTAGAAAGAAGTAGGCTGGGCACAGTGGCACACACCTGTAATCCCAGCACTTGGGAGGCCGGGAGTTTGAGACCAACCTGGCCAACTTGGTGAAACCCTGTCTCTACTAAAAATATAAAATTAGCTGGGCGTGGTGGCACATGCTTGTAATCCCAGCTACTCTGGAGACTGAAGAGGGAGAACTGCTTGAACCCAGAAGGTGGATGTTGCAGTGAGCTGAGATTGCACTACTGCACACCAGCCTGGTGACAGAGACTCCACCTCATCTGCTCTGGTGTATTCTTTTTAAATCTTGATTATATGTTGAAATTTTTGATAGGTTGGGTTAAATAAAACATAAGATTCTATTTCAAAAAAAAAAAAGAAGGAACTTGCATTGCTGGGAAGACAGACCCAAAGTACCAACCCTGTACTTCCTGCTAAGTGCTACCATAACAAACCCAAGCCAGCTCTGGGCTGCAGGGAAGGTGCCGATGGCTGCGATCAAGCCATGACTGGTGCTGGGCTCCCTTGAGCTGCTTCCTGTCCCCATCTAAGACTTGGAGTCAAAGCAGCACAGAGATGCCAGTAGGTACAGGCGAAGGGCAGGCCCAGCAAGACAGAGCTCTCGGACAACCGCCACCCTACTCCAGCCTGCATCCCGGACCCTTCCCCTCCTTGCCAGGATGGTGAAAAGCCAGGACATTCACCTCTCCCCCATCCCACCAACAGAGTCCATGGAGGCCATGAGGGAGGAATATTGTGGAACTCCTTCTCCCTATCCAGGAGGGAGGCTTCATGGAAGGCCTGTTTTCCACGCCACCCTGCACAGCGTCAGGGAGGCCAAGTTCAGGGAAATGGGTTTCTACTCACAGCTGGCAAGAAGGAGGCGGCACCTCCACCCAGAAACAGCCAGCACAACTAAGCTTCAACACAAAGTGACGCTCACACTAAGAACAAGGGAGACTTGAAGCTCAGTGAGGAAAGGGAGCAGCATGCGCCAATGCTGAGAGGCAGGGTATCAGAGTTATTTCATAGAGACGCCAGAGCAGCGTCACAAAGACACTGCCAGACGTAACACAAACACGCCTGAACAAAAGAAATAGAAAGCACAGCAGCGAAAAAGAAGATACAGTAGAATCAAATGAAAATTTTACAACTAAAAAATACAGTAACTGAAATAAGAAACTCAGTGTCTGGCTCAGCAGCTGAACGGATGAGGCCGAGAACCAGACGACAGAATAACAGCCCA